AGTTTTTACAAACACTATGGCAAAAGTAGCAGGGGTGCTTATTTTCGGGAGGTGCTTAATTTCAAGATTTTACGGTAATCTTTACGTCATAATTTTAATATATGATAATTGATTAAGGTGCCAATAAGTACCAATCTATGATATTATTTTTTTAAACGACCGCGAGATATACGATAATGTTTCCGTTTAGACGAACCATACTAATTACCAAAAATTTTTAAATTAAGTACAGTAGATATTACGGAAATTATATTCTTCTAAACAAAAAAAAAAAAAAGAAAGACGAATACGGTTCTAAAATTAGAACAAAAAATTTCGCCTTCCTTGCTATAAAGAAGGTTTGAAAGTTAAAAAACTTTAATCAAAAAATTTAATCTGATAAATGAAATTAAAATTTATGGGATTTACTTGACACGTGATAGGTATTTTCGGTTAGGTATTTTCGGTTACGCCAGAACATATATATAAAAGGAATTTTATAAAAAATAAATCCCTACTTGTGCCTTTTTGTAATTTTTTTTTTTCCGACATGGATCCAGCAACACCAAAACAAGTGGCCGAGCAAGCAGTGCCTGAACTTCCGTCCCCCTCGTCAGACGCAGAAAAGGTAAAGGTTGATCCAGATCAAAAAGTTTATATCCAATCTGTAAATTTTCAATTTATTTTTGGTTACGTTTGTTAAAAAATTAGATCAGATTAAAACGTTTAGCGAAGCTTCAACAAAATAGTTCAGACAACTCTGTTGGAACTTCAAGGACTTTCGCGTCGACTTCTAGTACCGCGTCTGCTACTGCTCCGACTTCGCTCAAAAGTCAAAGTAAACAGCTACAACAACAAAAGGATAAGGGAAGGTTGGAACCTATGGTGAGAGCAATAGCTTCAGTTTTTACTATTTGTATTTCTAATGCTTTTGTTTAGTTTATAGTATACTTTGCAAGTAGGGCATTTCGTTGGCTAGCTTATTTAGATCTTATGAAAGAGTTTCACGTTGTTAAAAGTTTTAATGAATTAAATTTGTTAAGCTCAGCAATTCGAAGTTATTTCTTCTTTAACTTAGAATATGTATTCTTTGATTTTATTTACTTATTATCTCAAAGAATACTACATCGGTTTCACCAAAACCAAAACAGCCTGTTAAATCCTTTGAAGATTGGCAAAATGATGTCATCTCCAAAATCCTTCAAATTACACTTGATGTAAGTTGGTTAACATTAAGACTTGGTTGGGATGTGTCAAATTTTTTTAAACGATTTAATATTTTTGTAATAATAAAAAATATTATATAATAATTAATCCCATAATAAAATCTTGACAGAAATTAATCTATTATTCTTCATTTTGATGTGTATTTTTTTTTATTTATTTATTTTATAAACTACTGTCCTTTCAAAGAAATCATCGGCCGAAAAAAGTGACTCTCAATTGATTTATCTATATTCCCAAGTTGCGGAGTTAAAGGAAGAGGATCCTGGTATGAATAAATTCATGCGGCAATTGCCTCTTCCTATATCTCGCTTATTTTGATTGGTTTTATTTTTTATAAATCTAATACCAAGATTGGATATTATGAACAGAGAAGACATCATTCAAATTATCACAATCTATTCTTGAAAGTGCTCTAGTTGCTCGATTATCTATTAATCCAGATCAAATGAGTGATGATGAGGAAATTGTACAGGCGATTTCGAAATTGCCTCGTACACCCACATTTGATTATCTGCTGGACAGCTGGAAACGAGCAGTTGAGATTAAGAAAAACTTGCTAACACGCGCGTCTAAGGTATAAAAATATTTTATTTATAATTAATTATAAAGGATGCTCGTGAATTAATAATGCGTATTTATCCTAGACATTAGAACCTTCAATTATTAACGAACGAGTTAATGTCTTGGATACAATAAAAGATCTATTAGTAAACTATGCCGGATTGATTATTCAATATCCTGATATGTTCCCACAAGTAAATAAGTAGGTAGCTCTTCTGGATATAAGAATATTCACTTAAAAGTTTATTTTATGTAAGTAATGGAAAATAAACTTGATGTATTTTTTTTTTCTTTTTTTATCTATTGCTTAGTTCAATGAATTTAGGTCCCGAACAGCTCGTTCCAAGGCTATTGGCCGATGTTAATACTACTGAAGGGTTACCTTGGGACTTTATTCAGGAATTGTCTGCAAAAATGGATGAGGAAGGATTTGAACAAGTTAAAAAATTTATATCATATCATATATTTAAGTATAACTTTAATAATTATATGTGATTTTAAAAGAAATATTCAATATTTCTATAGGTTTTTGGACAAGCTTTAATTGGGTTGACGGCTCAAATGCGTTCGAAAAAAATCTTGGATGATTTTTTACGACCACTTAATGCATGTAGTTTTAATTATTGGATTTTATTAAATTTTTTTAATTTAATCTAATGACTACTTGTACTATTCTATAATTTTAGTGTTTACTAACTCTAACTGAGATCAAATCCCTGGCAGCGATGGTAAAGAAATCAATTAATATATGTTCATTTTTTTTTTTTAAAAAAAAAAATTTTCAATATTAACTTTTAAGTATTTAAGTTACCAACGCTACGATGCTGGAATCCTCCTAATTTGACTGCCAAAACGTTCGAGGTTATGTCTCTTTTAGGTCCATTTTGTCGGTTATCCGTTTTTCCATTGGACGAGGTTTTAAATTTTATTATTATTATTATTATTATTATGAAATTATGACTGATTAAATTCTTATTTGATGATAGCCAACTATAGCGGAAAGTTATTTTAGTAACGTTCAACAAAGAAGTAAAGCTGATGTGGATTCTGCTATGATAAGTCTGAGGGGTGCTATACGAGGAGTACAGGTTAAATATAATCTGACTATTATTTTTTTTTATATTTATATATATTATTACATTTATTAAATACGTAATTGCTTTATGGGAATATAATTTCAGAAATCTCTTTTTAATATATTTAATAATATTGTACGTTCTTCACCGTCTTCAAAAGAAGCTGTACTTTCTTATTTTGCCACAGTTATTAAGTTGAACGAAAAAAGAGCGCAAATGCAGGTTCGTATCCATATTATATTAAATTTACACTTGTGAATAAAAATTTTCAACTCCACTTATCTACCCATAGGTTGATCCTTCGCAAGTAGGAACCGATGGGTTTCTAATGAATCTAAGTTCTGTACTATTAACTTTCGCGGATCCTTTTATGGGTTATACTAAGGTAGTAAAGATTTTTAAATTTTTTATTCAACTTAACAATTTCTAACGGGAAACTTTTTTTAATTAAAGATCGATCGTATCGACGTTAATTATTTCAGAAAGTCGAAACGAATTGATATTAGTCAAGAAACAAAAATTAAGGCAACTCAACAAGAATCAGACGCATACTATTCTTTGGAAAATGAGAAAGGTCAGAAAGGTTTTGAAAATTAGTGCTGTTTATTTAGCTTTAATAAGACTCAATATCTTAAATATTTATATCTTGTTTACATGCAGAACCCTCAAATTTCATATCGGAAATTTTTTTTATCACCTTAGCAATCCATCATTATGGACCATTGCAATGTTATGATAATTATAATAATCTGAACAGAGATCTTATGGAATTACAAAAACAGTATGATGGGATGAGAGCTGATCAACCAAACTGGGCGGGGGTAAATATTCTAAAATTTTCTGTGGTCGAGTTGTTATAACTTTCTTTTAACTGTTCATATAGACTCCAGCTGCTGCTATCAATGAAGTTCTACTAAAGCGTTGTAAGGTAAGATACTTGTATAATAAGAAATGATCCGTAAACTTTTATTAAATATTTTTTTTTTACTTACATTTTAGGATCAACTCGACAAATGGGCTTCGCATAAAATAGCGTATGATTCTCAATTGTTAGATCCGGAATCCTTATCCCATTCACTACAATTTTATAACTTAGTGATTAATTGGGTGTTAAGAATTGTTGATCCTACAGGTCAACATCCTAAAAAGCAAATTAGGTATTTTCCTACAAAGTTGTTGAAATTTATCTATAATCTAGATTTTCTTAAACTTTTTTTTTTTCCTGATATATTTTTCAAGCTTACCTTTACCGCCAACCCCTCCAAAGGAATTTATTATGTTACCTGAATTTATCATTGAAGACGTTACCGAATTTTTCTTGTTCATTTCCAGGTATATATTTTTTATGTGATTATTCTTACAAAAGCTTTTTTAACGCATAAGTTACCTATGACAGATATAACCCCCGAGTAATACTTTCTGGCTCGCGTGACGAGCTGATAATTTTCATTATCACTTTTCTTAAATCTTCGTCATATATTAAGAATCCATATTTGAAAGCAAAGTTTGTAGAAGTAAGGATTCGCTTTCTTCCTAATTATTATGTAATTTAACTTGAGGTGATTCGTGTAAAATTCTTTCTAATATTTGCCATGATCATTAGATCTTGTTCTATTACACAACACGAAATGACAATGAAGGTGGTATGGGGGCTATTTTAAATTCACATCCTATTTCTTTGGAGCATTTAATGTCATCTTTAATGTCTTTTTATGTTGGTAAGTTTATTTATTTTTCTTTCTTTCTATTTTTTCGTATGATCTTAATTATAAATTAATTTTTTTGGAAAAAAAAAACACTTTTTTTCTTTTTTTAGAGGTGGAACAGACCGGAATGCACACTCAATTTTATGATAAATTCAATATTAGATATAATATTTCGCAAATATTCAATTCAATATGGAATAACCAAGACCATAGAAATAAATTAAGAGAGGAAAGTCGGTTAGTAAACTATTCAAACAAATTTCAAATTTCACATAAACACTCTTTTAACATAAACCTAAACGATATTCTTAACAGAAAAACAGAATCCTTTGTAAAATTTGCTAATTTATTAATGAACGATGCAACTTATCTCCTGGATGAAAGTCTTAAAAAATTGGTGGAAATTCGTAATTTACAAAATGAAATGAGTGACACCGCGGAATGGAATAGGCAAACTCCGGTAAGAACAAGTCATTATTTAAATTGTTAATAAATTTCTTTTAAAAATAGCTTTGTCTTATAAAATATAATTGTAAAGCAACATCGTCAAGAACGCGAAGGTTTGCTTCGCTCTCTTGAACGACAAGCTACATCTTATATGGCTCTCGGGAATGAAACAGTACACATGCTTGAATATATGACATCAGAGGTAGTCGAACCGTTTATCACACCTCAAATTGTCGATCGATTAGCAGCAATGTTAGATTATAATTTAGATTCTCTTGTTGGTCCACGGTGCACTGAACTTAAAGTTAGAAATCCAGATAAATATCGATTTCAGCCTAGAACTTTATTACAACAATTGATAACTGTATATTTGAACTTATGTAAAAGTAAAGAATTCGTACAAGCAGTTGCTAGAGATGGTAGAAGTTATAAAAAAGAATTATTTTCAAAAGCGTCAGAAATCTTGAAGAAATACAGTTTGAAATTGGAAAGGGATGTTGAAATATTGAATAAATTTGTCAATGATGTTGAGGAAGTAATTAAATTGGAAGCGGCTGACGACGAAGAGTTGGGTGATATACCTGATGAATTTTTGGGTAAGCTTGAATTAATATTATCAGTTTTTTTTTTCTGATTAATATATAACTGTTTAAATTTTAGATCCACTTATGTATGAAATAATGGAAGATCCTGTTATTTTACCTGAATCGCGAGTTTCTATTGATCGTAAATCCATCACGACTCACCTTTTGAGTGATGCTACGGATCCTTTCAACAGGAAGCCTTTGACAATAGATCAAGTTATTCCAAGTATATATTTATAAATATATATATCATTTTTTATTGAAGTCATATATTTGAGCTAACAATATTCATTTATATATAATCATAGACACGGAATTGAAAGAACGAATTGAAACTTTCAAAAGGGAAAAAAGAGAAAAAAGAAATATTTGAATTTAAATTACTTTTTTAAGTTGTTACACAAAATAACTATATAGTTTGTAAAAAAAAAAAAATTTGACGTATATTTTATTGTATGAATCTGAAATATAAAAAGTTTCAAAAACTTTATTTAAATTATTTAATCAAAATCTATTTATTTATTGATGTGAGAAAAAAAAATTTTTTTTTCTAATCTGCTGTAATTGGCAGTCTGAAATTTCATGACAATTTTATTAAAGTTCAATTTCATTATGAGAATAACTAATGTATTACAACATATTAATTACAACATATACAATAATCTCTTTAAATACATTAATTGTTTGGAATGTTGTGTCAAGAAAATGTTGTTATCCAAAGTAAGTTAGGTTTTAAAAGCATTATCGTTATTAATAGGAAAAAAAGATATACATAAATGGGATAAAAAAAAAAAAAAAAAAATACAGTGTCTATTATACATATCAAAAATCGTAAAATTAACATAAAATTTAGGATAAAAAAAAAATGTCCTTTTTAATCAAACTTTTTATTTATACGATAACATATGGTGACGTCTTAATGCGTAATTCGTTCCATTTCTTTAATCTTTTACTATAAAAAGGAGGTATCAAACTTAATAAAGATACTATCATCATCTTTAGAAGTAAAGCTGGCTGCCATATATCTGCAGTTGAAGTAAGCTCAAATAGGATATCTCCTGCCTGACAACAAGCAAGATTATACGGGATCGATCCAAAAAACATTGAAGCAAAGAATGGACCAATTGGAATGTATAATAGTGGCGATGCTAAATTAAGAAGCCTGATATATCAAAATAAATTAGAATAAATTTGCGTTTTTTTTTTTTTTTTTTTTTTTTTTTTAAAAAAAAAAATGAGGGTGACTTACCACCAAGGCGACAAAGGAAACATTCGAATAAATAACAAATAAAAGAATAATCCATCTCTATTTTCGTCGACTTGTTTTCTTAGAAAATTCAATTTATCAGATAAATATTGATCTATCATTGGCTGTCCAATAAATTTGCTTAATAGATATGCACATGAAGCTCCTATAGAGGTGAGTATAGAACTCAATAACGTAGCAGTAAACGGTCCATATAAAGCACCTGCTAAAATGTTCTAATTTAATTATTTTTTTTTTTGTTAGCTTTTAAGGTTCATTGTATATAAAATTTATTATATATATATAATTTACCAGGAAAATGGCTCCAGGTATGGAGAATGCCTGTTTCCAAACATAAATTAATGAAAAAACGGTAAATATATGTATATATCCTTCCCAAGTTCTATTGGAATAGTTTTCCAATATTATAGCTTGTTTTTTTACTGCCTCAATTGAAGTTGGAAGAGATAAATTTGGTATAGTTTTGACTAAAGAAACAATTCCCCAAAGTGATATAAACGCACAGCCAAAAAGAAAAAACATGCGCGGGACAAAGGTAACTACTTTGCTTTGTGATTTAATGGCTTTATCATATTCAGTCTTGTATTTTTTTGTATCTTCGTTAAATCCCGAGATAACGGGCATTTTAATAATCGAATCATTATGTGATAGCATGAAAGGATTTTGAAAATGGTTTACTTGCATATTTTTGTAGACATATAAATGAGATTCTTTATAAATAAAAAAATAAAAAGTTAAATCGAAATGCTAAAAATACTGTATATTTTTATAGAAATCACCATAAGTTTCACAAGAAATTATGCAAGCTGATCATCATCTCACATGGGTGACGAAGATATCTTTCTCCGCCACGTTAATTAAAAAAGCAGTAAATGTGACAAGATGTGACAAGATTCAAACAGGATTCTTAGATTCTCTTAATATTTATTTAAAGTTAGAATATATTTCATCTTTAATATATTATTTATATATATTTATTAATTAAAAAAAAAAAAAAAATGAATTTGGTTTCTAATTTGTTAAATAATTAGTTTCCTTGATGTGACTGCAACTTATATACATGTTCCTTTTTAATTGAACTCGCTAACTGTCTTATTTTCTTGACATCTCCAATAATTTAACGTTAACCCTGTTAATAACTAATTTTGTGTTTATATTATGATTTTGTTGTTATAAACGATTTAACAATTATTCCGCTTTAAAAAAAGCGATTTTAAAACGTTAATTCAAAAAAAAAAAAAAAATTACATAGATAGATACAAATATTTTAAATAAGCAAGAAAATCTTTTCATAAATTATCTCGTTCCGTATAGAAATTTTTCAGGTAAGTTTCTGCCTCTCTATATTCATCTTTAACCTTTTCCAATAAGGTTGAAATTTTTGTGATTGCATCATCTTCAGAAATGGTATTCGTCCCTGTCTCGTCTCTCATATTACCAAAATGTTGCATCTTTTCACAAGATGCCTTGACTTTGGTTAACCCAATGGCAGCGGAACTACCCTTCAAGAAATGTCCTAATTTAGACAATTCATCAAGGTTTCGCTTTTCCCTAATGTTCCGAGTTGCAATTGAAAACAGTCAAGATATAGTTAGCCAATTCGTTGTTCACGATGACAATGTTAAAAAATAAATATAGTCTAATAACAACTTAATAAGAATTAGCGTTTTCAATAATCGAAGGTTAATCCAATTAATCAATATCTGGTTCATACCTATTTTTATATTTAAATTTCAACTTGAAATTATCAATGAAATATCGATCAAATCAAACTATAGAAAGTTTGACACGTCGCTGAAAAAGCTAGACTATTTTCTGAAATTTATAATCAACTACTTACAAAGCATTATCCATGTTATCAAAAGTCGTTTCCGCTTGTTCGAAATAATTCCAAACTATAGATTTGGAAAAGTCACGATCTTCGTCATCGTCCATCTCCAGTAGCTGGTCAAATGTTTCGTGATCAATAAGATCTGAATCTGGTGTAGAAACCTCCCTTCCATTTTCTTCCTCCTTGAGAAAAAAATAACAGCGACGTTTTATTAGGTATAGAAGTATATGGAGGGTTAATTAAAGGATTTGGAACATAAAAAATCAGAGAAAAAAAAACCGCGACAAGACTACATTAAAGGAGCGTTCAGAGCTGGAGCTTGAAGGTGATGGCATATTTATAATTAAACTTGTGGTTGATGGTTTATTAAGATGATAATGATGTTTATTATTAAACTGACAGAAAAAAAAAAGTTATTAACCAACCTTCTCTGATTCTCAACATTAAGTTATGCAATTCAAAGGCGCAATGACATCATGGTTCATCAATATTTATATTTTAAAACAGGTTTATTGAACTTCTCCTGACAATTTATCATGTTAATCCGACTATAAAAAACCTTATAATAAACCTATAATAAATAAGTTTTTTTTTTTTTTTTTAATAATAATATTATGGTTAAATATGTTTATAAATAATTGATTTTATTATATAATTAAAAAATAAAAAACTACCATCTCAAAAAGTTTGTAAATATAAATTTTCTTTTGATTTGCTTTTATAAAAAAATAATAAAAATTTTATTTATTAAATAATTTTACTTAAAAATTTTTCTGAATAATTATAATTATTTTTATTAAATTTAATACTTTTATAATAAATTTTATGATGTTTTTTAAGTAAAATAAAAAAAAATTAACTAATGATTTTAAAGATAATAAATATAATAGTATATTATTTAGATTAGATTATGATTATCATGTTATAACCTAGATATATTATAAAATTGCAAATTATCATATTATAATATAAATCAATTATAAATCTTAAACTATTATACTATAACCTATTTATGACTTCATAATCTAAATATTATGATATCATAATGTGAAACATATGCAGTGTTATTATAAGATACTGATAGAATATTGATAGGATATAGATAAGACAAATAGAACATTTAAGATATAATATAGGACAGGTTAAGATATATAGCTAGAATATATAGTTAGAATAGCAAATTTTTAAAATATCAAAAATATACATTATTAAACATATATATATCTTATTATGTTCTTATTATTTTATTATTAATAATTTTTTTTAAAATTTTAGCTATTTCTTTAATTCTTTTTGCTATTTATGTTTATATATTATAATGCTACTAGTATTATTTTATAATTTAATACCACAATACTTATAATATACTTGTATTATTTTCTTTTATTTCTAATCATTTTTAGATTCATTATTATAATTCTTATATTATTAATTGTTTATAATCCTTATCTTATAAATTATTTGATGATTTTTATCTGTTTTTTAATCTTTATAATATCAATTATTTTTCTTATTTGAGTTCAATTTTTTAATCTTTTGTTAACAATACTTTACTATTTTTAAATATTGTATTAATTATTAAAATGGCATAATATATTAAAAAAAATTGTATTTCTTACCTTTTATTATCTATTTTATTTAAATTATATAGTATCAATAATATCCTAAAGTATAATTTCTTATTTTTTTTATATAATGTTACTTTAAAATATTACCAAAAGTATATTGTTTCTAAAATTTATTAAAGATAATCTGATTTATTTGAAAAAATAAATTAATATATTTACTTTAAAAATCTTTAATTAAATTACATCTTATAACTTATTAATATTTTAAATACATATAAGAAAAGGTTAAATATCAGAATAGTAAGTTATTACACTTTAAAATTATATATATATATTGTAAAATATACTATTTCTTCTTTATTATATTTTTGCTTCACTTCTATTATATTTCTATTATATTCTTATTATATTCTATTACATTTTTGTTATATTTTCATTACTTAATTATTAGTATAATATTTGATCAAATATAATATATATCTCAGTTTACTTTATATTATATCTAAATACAGTCAACACTTTCTACAATGAATTTTAATATAACGAATTTTACAATACAACAGATTTTCAGTGTTGGACAGAATTTTAAATATAAAAAAACCCTTACTATACCAAATTTAGTAATTAAAAATTTGTATTACGTTTAACAAATTAAAGTCAGAAAAATTTATATATAAAATGACTCTCTTTA